GGGGCAAAACCAAGAACATTTTATTTAAATACTACCTGACAATCGTGTTACAATGCTCTTCATTTAACTATCATGGCCATGTCGTGGTCATCAACTCACCACATCATGGCATAAGGTTTTCCATAAAATCCTTATATATTTGAAATCCCTAAATCTTCATCTAATGAAAACGAGAAAAAGGGTGTTACAAATCGACTGCCCCACCGTCGATATATCGAAGTAAGCAAGACAACATAGATGAAAACTAACCAAATCGAGGTTTTTATTTTATAAAACCCAATACACAAATTCTATGAATTTTTACTTTTTTTAATGTGTTCTTGAATATTTGCACGAGACTTGGTCTTCGGGAATAATCTATGTCTAGACACAGAATTGAAGTCCATAAATACCTCTGTCGTCTATACAAAATGCTTGTTCTAATTATGTATTCTATAGCTGGAAGACATGAAAGAGTCAAGTGAAGAATCAGATTTGGCAACTTACTCACTCTATCGACCCCGTCTACATGTTTCGACGTCTTTGTTTTCTTGGATTTCTTCATGTATTTAAAGAGAGAGACAGATTGAGATCAAATCACATGCCAACCAGTTTATCAGTGAACAACTTGAACCAAAGGAAAATGCGTTTCTTTGTCCGTTGAGTTTATAAAGAAGTTTTTGTATTCTAGATATAATTCAGGGAAATTAATTAAACTAAGTATTAACCATCATTATAAATAGAATATTTGAGAAGAACCATTTTTTTTTATATATTACCTTGGTTTAAAGGAATATAAATTAATAATAAATATATTGTTATAATCTTTAATGTCATCTAAAAATATATATTACAAATACACTAAAAATGAAGATAAATTAGTCAATTAAAGAAAACTTTGAATATGTTTATGATTGGATGTTTGTGATGTAAATTATAGTTGTGGAAAGCTAAGGTGATAAAAACAATAAGATGTAAATATGTTAATTGCAGTTAAAGATGCTCTAAGTAATGGTTTACAATCTAGATGACTATGGTGATATAAGGTGGGTTTTCTGAGATATAAGATGGAATTAAGAGTTGTACTAAGAAAAGAGGGTAAGATACACTAAAACGAAAAAGCCCTAATACATCAAGCAACCCAAAAATCCGAATCACGAGAACAATATTAGTAAGAAATATAATAAAACAACATGGTTTCAGTCAGATGTGGACTCAATCAAAAGTTCTAACTCATTCAGCACTAACTCATTTAACAACGATCAAATGACACCTTACTGTAATTGTAATAAAAGGGAATACATAGAAATAAAGTTCAGTTGATTTTAAGAAATGAAGGTTTGTTGAAATCAATTAAATGACGTATTTCATGAATTTCCAAAGAACAATTTATTTTTTAAACGTAACGTAAGATTTAACCATAATTGAATTTAAGTTCGGTCAAAATACCACAAACCAAACTTCTTGTGAAAGAATCAAGTGAAGAACATGATCCGACAAGTTGGTAATCATATCCTTCTCTTCCGTACCTTTGGATGTCTTAATGCCTCTGTTGCTTTGGTGATGAGAGAAAAAATTATTTAGAGATTTTCATTGAAAATGTATTTGAATCATACACGAACATTATATCAAATAGATGATAAATAACAAGACGAGACATTTTCCACATAATGTGAAAGAATGTACATTTTGTGCCAAAAGAGATAGCGTTGTATGCAAAGTCGAAAAAAGACAAAACTCACACAAACTAAGAGATTTTCACAATGTAGAGGATCAACCACATGATAAAGTCATTTCTTACATATTTCATCAAATGCGTATCATATAATATTCCAAAACTACTTCAATGTATTTTCGTACATAACACAAAAAATGGTTATATCCAAACCCCTAAAATGGTTGATGTTAGAAAAGTCAATTAATGTTGTCCCTTATTTCCTTAAAAGACACAATCACTTTCTTGGTGCAAGTGGAAGCGAGATTCATCATCACAAACCAAAATTCAAAGGCAAAACGAGAGAGTGAGAAGCTCATATGAAAGTATGATTACACCTAATCTTGAACGAATATGATTCTGCTTCTGGTGATGCTTGTTGCCACATCATTACATCGGTCAAAAAAGCTTGATTTTCCATCGGTAGTTGATACTCAAGGTGATGCTCATGGTCTCAAGTTAGAAAAACTTGATAGATGATTGGACTATAAGGATGATTACAAAATCCCAACATAGGTTATTGTAAAATTCTAAACCATATCAGGATGTAAAACCTTTGTTCTCGAGTTCAACTAAACGAGGGAAAAAATTGATGGAAGTGTAACGCCTGTGTTTCTGGGCTTGCCATTTTTAGCAATGTAATAGTCTAGGTTAACCTTTGTAACCCGTTTTGAAATAATATAAGTGTATTATTTGAGTATTATGTGTTTTGTGCTTAATTGCTTAATTATGTGGTTTGATTAATTAAGAATAAAAATAAGCGTCAAAATTTAAGTGTAAAATAAACTTGATATCTTTAGATAATGTTGTATTAGTTGAAACAAGGTTTCCGAGGATATAAAGAATGCCGAAATCCGAGTTATAACGAAGAAATTATGATCTGTCGAAGTTTCGCGACAGAACCGACACGACACAGCGCGACGTAAAAAGTGAATTTACGTTAGAGCGATATTTAGCCTAAGCAATCTAAATGAAAGTCGTAGAATACGTTAAACCATGAGCGTGCATAAAAAGAACGCCCAAATCTGACTTCGTATGAGGAAGTTATGATTTTTTCGAAGTTTCGACTTAGCAGTATGCAGCCCGAATGCTCGATTTGAGATCGAGCGGTTTTTTAGCCGAAACAATCTAAATGAGAATTGAAGATCTCATTAATTGTAGTAAAACGATAAAAAGATAGGCGAAAACGGACGTCGGATAAAGAAGTTATGATTTTATAACGGAGTTTTCCTGTCCCGACCTACTAAAAATAAATAATAAAAATAAAGTCAAAATTATCCGACGGAGTCTAAATGAAAGTTGTAGATCGTAGTCTCACCTACTCGTGGATATAAAGAGCGTCGAAAACGGAGTTCGTATGAGGAAGATATGAATTTTTGAAGTTTATTTAATAAATTCGGTATTTAATTTAAATGAAAATTCGCTGATATTATCCATGGGGGGGAGTCACCGGCCTTATCCCCGTTACGCCACGTGTAACCAAAAATTACGCCCCACGTAAATCGAAGATCCAGCCCCTATAAAAGGAAGTCGAGTGCAGCCGAATTCTTTGTTCATTTCTTCCCGTTTTCTTGCGTTTTTGCATCGTTTTTCGTGCAAGAAATATCCCGAAGCCCCGGTATCATTCCCGAGCCCCGAAGCAAGTCCCGAGGCCTCAAAGATCCCGAGAAGTGCGGTTTCCGAGCCGAAGCTCTGCCCACGAGAAGTTCGATTTTTGAAGAGATCTTCCAGATCTGCTGAGGATTACTACTTTTGCAAGCCGTAGTGCTGTCCGATCATCTTCTGATCAAGTGAGTGTATACTACCTTTCATAAACACAATAATAATACAAGTATGGTTTGAGTGTATTAAGTATATTGTTGTTTATATGTGTGAGTGTGTTGTTACTTTCTTCTAACGTATAATTATGAAGTATTTTATACAAAATACGTGTTATGTGTATATTTTGTTGTTATGTGTGTGAATGTATATTCACTTTCTTCTACTTTACAGATCTGATTATTTCTATATGAAATACGTGTTATGTGTGTATGCCTCATCTGTTATATGGAAAATGTATTGATCGAGCATGTTATACAGGTTTTGAAAATATGTATAAAAATGTATGTTTTTATCTACTAATATGTTGGGTAGAACATGGGTAGATAGTTGGTGTGTAATAAACAGATGAGAGGCCTCGTTGTTGTTTTGATCCAGTCATCTAGCGGAATTTAGATGACGACCACGGACTTTTCTAGACAGTCCAGTGGAACGCTAGCAGGCTCATAACCTGTAGGTGTTAATAAACTTGGGTGTTCATTCGTTGTATTCCATCCCCCTCATGGTTGTCTTATTTAACTTATATTGCTGAGGAACCCCCGCAGCATGTGTTGTCACCCCGATGAAAATATTCTTAGATTAGGTCCCTTGTATTAGTTATTTTAGGGACATAAAGTGAGAATAACGGGAATGGGTAACTGGGTTATTGTTGGTTGATAAGAATTAATTTAATTATTTATTGTGGGTTGAAAACCCTATATGCTCACCAGGCTCCCAAGCCTGACCCACTCAGTTTTATTTGTATTACAGGAAGTGGCGCAAGGGCGTAAGATGGACGAACCATCAAGTTGTTTTGTTTACGAGTCTGCATATGTATATATTTGTTGAATGACTTGTAATGTTATCGTTTATGCTTATTAGTCTGTATCGGAACATGACACCCCGAGTTTTGATTATATAATGAAAATACATTTCTTTTATGAAATGTTTTGGTAAACATTGTTTTATCATGTTTTGTTTTGGGGAACAAATTCCGCAACTCTTTCAAATCAAAAGGATTTACTCTGAAATTATTTTAAAAGCATAAATGAAAATCGATCTTTTCTGGCCGAGATTTTGGGGATGTCACAGGAAGTGAGAATAAAAAAAAAATAGTGATTTATTAATTGAAAGAGATAGAAAGAAATGGAATGACAATGAAGGAAAATTTTCCCTCCTAACTCTTCTTCTAATTTGGAGAGAAATTAACAAAATATTTAATTTTCATTTCACTTCTTACCAAGTGGGGAGCACAAAATACAATTTGTTACTTTCCTTTCTCTTCTTTTCTCTCTTACTTTACTACTTTTTTCTTTTCTTTGCTAAAACTCATGAACAAAGTGTAAGTATCAAGCTTAAGAACTCACTCACGTCCACCAAACTTGAAATAGGTTTTGAAGTCCTCCATAAACCCAACAATAAAAGATAGCATCCGCCCCTTTTTAATTATTTTATGATATTATCAATAAAATCATTACTAAACATTGAATACTTTTAAATCAGTTCTATCCCAAAACATAAATGCCATAAACATGTAGCTATTGACTAGTATGTGCATTTAACCCAAATTTTAATACATCTCCCAACACAATTGTCCTTAAAATGAAGCAACATGAAGTCATGTGGTACAAACATACAAATCACATGAGATCAAGAAATCTATTTACCTTGTAACATGAATAGGTAGGTACTACTTACGGTTTACCAGAAAGCTGATAATAACTGATCTCATTAAGAAAACCCAGTTTGACAGTTGAGGAAGCTTTGTGAAACTTTGAGACTTGATTCATAGTCTCCACTGACCTCTCATGGAACTCGGCTTCATCACAATCCCATCTAAAAACCATTTCCTCCAATGCAATTCCATGCTCTAGTAAACAACGCACTAAATCAAGTATTAGCTTTTCCTTATAGAAATTAAGAAACTCGACTCTTTTCAGATGACGTGTCAAGATTCCTCTTCTTTCAGCTTCATCCAACTTCCAGTCTTCCCAGAGAAAAACATTTCTAGATCATCATAGAAAAGAAGATTAAGTTTTCATGTTGAGGTGCAAAGATCTAAACTAAAAGTTTGAATTCTTAATTGCTTTTTCATATCACCAGGATAATTTAAATGTCCCAAGTTGGAATCCTTTTCACCCGAAAAAAACAAATGATTTGCTTAAAACTTGAGTCAAGGGTTGATGAAATTTTGTCAAAAGCCTATTCGAGATTTGTGTATCTCCTATAAAATGCCTATGTGGCAAAATGGGTGGATGAGATACAAATTTGATCGAAATGTGTCTTGTAAGATTAGGCCAACCCATCTGACACATCATTTCTAATAGATTATTTTATTTTACTTATTTGATAAAATATATATATATATATATATATATATATATATATATATATATATATATATATATATATATATATATATATATATATATATATATATATAACCGGATGTTATATGACAATACCTCTTCAATGATCAAATTGAGAGACTCCAAATGAGGAAGACATGTGAGGAATCTTACGAGTTTATTGATGTTAGGGGTATCATTGGTTCCTGTGGTTAGCTCCAATGTCTTGAGATTAGGTAGAGATTGAGGAGGGACAACTGCATATTTTAATATGTAATCACAATTTAAAATGCATAGACATTTTTAACCAAAATGAAGACTTGAAAATAAAGAGAATAAGCAACTACCTGAGGGAAACAGAGAGAAACAGAGGATGTCAATACTGGTGGACAAAGATTCTAAATCAGAAATTCTCTCAAACATATTATCCGGAAACTCAGGTGGAAAGTCTTCAGGATGAATCACAGCTTTCTTCAATGAACCCAGACTTCTGAAGATATACGCATCAGCTGTAAAAGCTCCAAACTCAAAAAACACCAATTTTGGGCAAACAATCTCTATGCGACCACAGGAAGTACGCACAATATCAAAAAGCTCTTTTGAGATTCCGGTTATCAAGTCTGAGATTCTTGAGATTTGGACATGGAATACAAAGAATATTGACTTGCTTCATCTTGCAGTCTATCAAACTCAAATCCTCAAGCAATGACAACCTTTTGAGAAAATCACATACATACACACCACATGTGGCTAGTAACACAGAATTGTTCATCTCAAGAACCCTAAGTCCTGAAAACCCTGTCATCCTAAACAAATTTACACGCCCGCTGTACAAATACAACCGTAATACCTCTAATGAACCACAAGTCCCAAGACAATCGGGCAAATCTCTAAGTTTCAACCAATGCCCACAGCAAAACAACAAGTGAAGTTGTTTGATGTTTCTCTTAACAACAGCCTGAATCCACTTTTCCACATCATATATACTGTAATAATTCTCACAACATAAACGAAAACTTTCCAAATTAAGGGAACTCTTTGCTAAAACCCCATCAACAAACTCCTTGAATTTGCTAGTTGAAAATTCCATTCTTCTAGAACAATCTATGTCAATGGAGGGAACTGAAGTCCACACATTCCTCCATCGTTTTGACAGAATGCTGCTTCTAATTGATTCTTCGGTACTTGGAAGACGTGAAAGAATCAAGTGAAGAACAGGATCTGGTAAGCTACAGATCCTATCATCACCATCTTTACGCTTTGATACATTTGCTTCAATGGACACTTCCATGCCTCTTTTACTGAAAAGTCATTCAAAAATCAGAATAACAAACAAATCGTTAAGGCAAACATTTTATCAAACAGTTTGTGAACACAAGAATGTACGGCTTCTACAGAGTGTGCGTTTGGCAGAACACCAATTTCAATACGCAATTGCATATACAATTGCCATACAACATGTTTTTATGTTTCTTGAACATCTGATTATCCAAACAACGAAACAAAATAACACTTTGTGTGTTTTATTTTCCTTGCAGTTCGAAAATTAGGATTTCCAGGCGATCTTGGCTGTATCGCACTTGTGGTTGAAATTGATATTTAACAAAACAAGAACACGAATAGAAACCAATAGGATCACGAATAAATGATATCATAAAATTTTTAAAACCCTAGATAATCGATTAATCCAGATTTGAGATGTCAGATCAATAAAAATCACATAATCGAGATATTCATTTTACCTGATTGCAACTGAGAATTGATTATGTTTGGTGTATTTCAAGTTTTAGAACAAAATTCACTGATTTCTGTCCATTGGACCTCTGGACGACCTTCGTTGCTTCCATATGGATCTATCTGATTGAAACTAGGAAGTAGTTGAAGTAGTTATTCAGTTTCCCGCCTTCATTTTGATTTTGATAGCTCGTTCTTGATTGCCTCTAATTTTTATTTTATTTTTATTTTTTTGAGATTCAAACCTGTCAACTCATTAAAAAGAAAATTATGTAAAATAGCCAAATGACCTTTGTAAGTGGTATCACTCGGATCGAAAAAGAAAATGTGTAAATTAAGTAATAGGGTTAAGTAACGACTGGGTAAGTCGTTTAATTTTTTTTTGTAAAAAATACATCATCATCATCATTAATAAATTATTATTATTATTATTATTATTATTATTATTATTATTATTATGTTTTAGCCCGCTTTTGTGGCCACAGAGCTGTTTTAGAGTGTTTTACTCATTGACTTGCCTAATTTACCTGACTCTTTTGTTTTAAAATTTTAGTTTATGTCTAGTTACTCATATCGTGTTATGGTCCTGCTAGATTATGGTATCAGAGCCATGGAATACTATGTGATATTACCTCATTTTACTGTTTATGAGTATATTCAGTAGATTCAAAAATAGTATTAAACAACTCATTAGAAACCACTTAATAGAAGAATATGAAGTGCCAAAGAATTTAGATCTTCTTAATAAATGGACAATTCCTAGGTTGTGTTTGGCGCGTCACATCTAGCTTATTTTTCGAGCTTTTTTATGTTGTCCTGTTTGACAAGCCAAAAAGTAGCTTATAAGCGAGCTTTTTGAAAAGCTACATAGACTAGCCTTTTAGGAGTTTTTTTTTTTTTAATTTTCAAAATATACCCCTTAATTAATTATAGAAACACATACTCTTACATGTCCTTTTATGTAATTTTATATATTTCAGCTAACTTTTCAGCTAGTTTTACCAAAATCATTTTTTATCAGCTAGCTTTTCACCTATCAACTAACTTTTCATTTAATAGATAGCTTTTCAGCTATTAGCTAGCTTTTCAGCTAACATCTAGTTTTTCAGCTAGTACGCCAAACATAGCCCTAGTATCAACCCTAAATTTATATATGAATTAGGAACCTTTGAAGAATTAGGTTTTATTCAAACTGTTAAAACTACAGAAGAAAATTGAACTGTGAATGAAAATGACATGACAGTTCAGTTAATGACCCCACAAGATATTGATAGGTATAAATATCTTTATAATTATTTACATATTGGTTTAGTACAAATTGCTTTTAAACCATTAACATTACAGGGATTACCTGAAAGCTTTTTAGCAGTCTTTACGGATGCTAGAAATAAAAATTGGAAACAATCTTCGATGAGTATAATAGAATCTAGTTTGTCCCATGGACCGATATATTTTAATGTTTACCTAAATTTACAACTTTCCCTGTCTGATAAAAATATTTTTCAAGCTTTAACATTAAATGTTAAAACTCATGGTTATAATTGTTTACCAGGCTCGGAAGTAATATGTATATGTTATCGTATATATTTTAAACCATTAAAAACTATGAATCCTAAATGTAAAAGAGTTAATAAACCTATAAATGAAACAATTTTAATAGAAAGTAATTTTGATATGTCAAAAATTACAACAAAAAAATCTATAAAATGGGATGAAATAAAATTTCCTCAACACTGGGTTTTAGAAAATAATGTACCACCCACACCCTTAATAAATAGTAATATAAAAAGTATTATACAAACTTCTGATCGCGTAGTTACTATCGAGTTTAACAAAGAAACAGAATATGAAAGCTACCTAATAAAAAGAACAAGATCTACAAGATCTTCACATTCATATATATCACCAATAGATTATAAGGTAGAAGTCCCTTCTACTCGTGCTTCTGTTGATATTAGAAAAATAAATAATTTAAATATACATGATGATATTGTGTATGAGGCGGAGGCATCTACTCCATCCAAAATGAATTTTACAGTTTAATGGATTTAAAAGAAAAAAATAGATTTTAGCCCTAGTTCTCAGGCAAGAAAAATTATTTGTGAAGAATTTTATTCAACCAATCGGACATTTTTAAAAGAATGGTTATTTGAACAATATTCTAAAGAGGAATTACAAGAAATCCAAAATAAATTTTATGAATATTTATCCTCTATAAATCAAATTATACATTTTATTCCTTGGTTTATTTATACTTTTCTACATAATATTCACAACATAGAAAGAGATTATACCGTGATCACAAGTGTATTTCCACCTCAAACCCCTTTTACAATCACAAATAATAATATTGCTATAAATTTTTAAGCTTATCAAAAGCTTTTTAATGAAAAGATTCTTACAGTAGACATAAATCATATTAACAGTATGATTCAACAATTAAATTTCCATAATTTATATTTCATAGTATTAGGAGAACAATTAATGGATTTACATAAAAAAATAGAAAATATAAATTTACTCATTAACAATAGTAAAAAAGATATAATAATATAGAAAAAAGATAAATGAAAACAAATAAATGCTACTATCCAACCCCCACCAAATATTACTGGTTACAAGTTAAAAAATTATGATTACATGTTAGATATTATGCAAGAACAAACGAAAAAATTATATATTAATACTACAAATAAAGACTCAGATGATGATTCAGATATAGATAATACTCATATAAATAAAATTAATAATTATGATAATAAATTTGCTAGAAAACTTATTCAAAGATTATATTATTATCCAAGACCAAGCCCTTAAGATGTCCTACATGAGGAACAAGAATATGAAATTAATAATAGTTATAACGGTAAAAATGTTTAGTGAGTGCATGCGCAGCTACCCTGTCGGCTCCTTCCCCTTAGACGAAGAGGTACCTGAAACCAAAACTGAAAAATACAACCACAAAGCTTAGTGAGTTCCCCCACCATACCACATACCGAACAACATACATATTATCGGGCAATAATGGGGAGCCCGACCCACCCATGTCAAGTAGTTATGGAGTGCTGACCAACCCGTGTCAAGCAGTTATGGGGTGCTGACCCACTCATGTCAAGCAATTATGGGGTGCTGACCTACCCTCCGGTTTATCTCAACCGACAATGGGACTATTTCACTCCTTACTACTAGCAACTCATAATCATATTATCATAATCATGTTATCATAATCATACTGTCATAATCATAATATCAAGCATTCCTTGGGTACTGACCAACCCTTCGGTCCTAACGACCGAGGTGGGGGACTGTTCCTTCCTGCTACCGCTATCACATACAACATATCATACTGGCACATAAAGCACATCTAATAATAGCAACCTAGATAATTATCACACAGACAATCATCTAACGACAATCCCTACTGGTGGGCCGACATTGTGGCTGTAGACCCACCTCTACTGGAAGGTAACTCACCTCGAAAACTGCATGTTGAATCTCGAGAAAAGTAGTCTCTAACAGCTACTCTGATGACTCCCAGCTAACATAAGGATTTTAGACAAACATGGTATGCATGCTTGGAGCATGGCATGACTATTGTTTTTATTCAAATATTAAGTTGATTAATCGAAACACAAATAATGAGTAATCAATATGGTGCATAGATAAAAGGTGTTTTTATTTACACTCAAAGTGTTGGGGCCATCTAGGATTAGTATTATTCTTGTGTTTCACTTTGAATGTTTTGACTTCCAGAATAAATTAGGCCATTCTTCTCGGATGACTAAGTTATTCAAACCATCCACACTCGGTCATATGTTGAAAGTAGATATGAATCAAGACTGTCATGAGTTGGTTTGCAGATGTCTAAGATGTTGGACATAGCAAGAGTTGCTACAACACTCATGAGTACTCATAAGTTATGAGTATTGGATTCAACCCACGCTCATTTGAATCACTTCATGGATTTTATCACGAGTGATCATGAGACGATAATATCTTATATTCTTCAAACCTAGAGATATGAGTTGTTACTATGAGTTGGTTACGAAAACGCATTGGTAACTCGCTACTATTAAACGTGCCTTTTTGTATGATTCAACAAGTAGTAGAACAAGCCATATGAGTCGAAGTTTATCCATTACTTTTACCTTCGGGATAAAAGAGATATTTGTGGGCCCCTCGATGATTTAGTGATGACACCCTAAGTGCTTGGCCAAGTCTGGACTGATTTGATTTGTTCAATTAGTCAGTCGTCATAAATCGGAAATCGGGAAACAAAAAATGGACAGAGAGAATGATTATAATCCATGTGTTAGTCCATATGATATCTAGAATGGAGGAATATATGGTCACTTATTTAATGGATGCATCATTTGATTTGTTCAGAGTTCGACAGTGGCTTTAAGAGCTACGATTGCTAGTCAAGTTATGAAGTTGTACCGGTAATAATAGTTTTAGACTTATCAAAGTGGGAGGCTGTTTAATTAGATGACTAAGCCCATAACTATTATTGGTATGTACTTGACCCGAGAGTAGCATGGTCCATTTGGGTTGCAT